CTCTCTTGGGCTGCCCTGGGGCCATCGTGGAGGCCTCTAGGGCCGCCTGGAGCTGCAGGAAGCCCTAAAAGAGGAAGACCCCTCACATGTGAAACGGAAATCAGATTGAATCATATTCTGCGATTGGGGCCTCCTCGGGCCCCTCTGGGGGTCCTCGTGTGTGGCCGTCTTGTTCGGTCTTGTGGGCTTCTTGGGCCATCTTGAGGCCATCTTGTGTGCCGCCCTGGGGCCCCTTTTGGGCCGTCCTGGAGATCTCCTGGGCCATCCTGGCGGCCTCGGTTGCCTGCCTGGGCCGTCTTGGAAGCCCGGAAGTGCGGCTCCATAGTTTTGTACCGGGAGATCGTGGCCCCGGGAGCGCGGACGACCCACTGTTTCTATCGAGGGAGACAGGGCGGGCAGCGCACACAGATGGACGTAACCGGGCGGGGGCCCCTTCGGATGTGTGAGAGTCCCCTCCACGTGCCAGGGGGCACGGTGGCGGGGCCAATTCTAGACGCCTCGCGTAACTCCACCAGCCCAACCAAAACACATTCGCAGACGAGTTGCCCTGATCAGGGATGTGGAGGTGAACGCAGTGGAATAATGGGCTGGGTAAGACGTCGTGGTCCAAGAGGGGGAGGATGGGAGGAGTAATCGGAGGAGGAGGAGGAGGAGGAGGAGGAGGAGGAGGAGGAGGAGGAGGAGGAGGAGGAGCAAGTGGAGGGGGAAAAGTAGGGAGAGGGGGGCAGGAGGAGGGACGAGGAAGGAGAGGGACGAGGAGGAGGAGCAGGCGGATGAGGAAGAGGAGGAGAAGGAGGAGGAGGAGGTGCAGGAAGTTGGAGAAGGAGGAGGAGGAGGTTGTTAAGTCTTGAGTTCTCCTGTCAGTCCTGGGGACCTCTTGGGGCATATTGCGTGCATCTTGGGGGCCTCTTGGAGCCTCTTTGGGGTCTCTCGGGAGCCTCTGGGGTACTTATCGAGGGCCTCTTGAGGGCCTCTTTGGGGTTCATGGGCACCTTTTGGGGCCGTCTTGGGGCACCCTGGGGAGCCTCGGGGGTCATCTTGGGGACATCTTAGAGGAGATCAATCAGAGGAGGGGGGCTCCTTAGGCCCCCCCCCCATGAGGCCGTCAAGTGGCCCAAACCGGAGTAACATCAATTATTTTGGCTATCTCGCCGAGGCCTTTCGGGGCGTCTTGGATGCACCTGGGGAGGCCTCTTGGGACGTCCTGGGGGTCTTTCGGGAGCCTCTTGGGAGTATCTTGGGGGCCTCTTGTGGGCCTCTTGGGGCCTACTGGGCACCTCTTTGGGGCCGTCTTGGGGTACCCTGGTGAGCCTCGGGGGCCATCTTGGGGCCATCTTGGAGGAGATCGATCAGAGGTGGGGAGCTCCTCCATTACGTCTCCCCCCATGGGGCCAACACGTGGCCAAAACCTTACTAACATCAGTGATCTCGGCTCCCCCGCCGAGGTCGCTTTGGACGCTCCAGCCGCTCTCGGCCCCCCCCCGTCCATGTCCAGGGGGAGGGGGTCGGGGGAAGGGCCAAGACACCCAGGAGCGCCCAGCCTTCTCTAATTAACACAATGAAGTCGTGTGGTGAAGTCACCTGTCTTCCTTCGTCCTTCGGAGTCGTTCTTCTTCTTCTTCTTCTTCTTCTTCTTCCTCCCACACGCCCTCCCAACACGTAAGCAGCACCCGAGCCGCAACATGTCCAGCTGTCGTCCTTGGATGGGCAGCTTCTGGGAACAAAGCAGACCCCATGTGCGCGACGCTGGGACGAGTTGCGCCACGTGTCCGGCAGGTGTGCCAGGCACCCCTGGGGCACAAGCGTGCCAGGCAAGCCTGGTGCGCCAGATGCTCCACATGCGCCATGCGTGCCGCGTGCTCCAGCCGCGCCAGTTGCGCCACGTCCGGGGCACGCACAAAGTGTGCCAGGTGCGCCCGCGCACGTGGTACACATCGGGCAACATGTGGGCCCCCACTACCCTAGTCGAAAATCAGTGGGCAATCATGGCAGGGTGGCCGTCGTAGTGTTTGGTGGGCCTGCGCACAGCAGGCAATATGCCAGCACCCCCGCCTTCTGTCAAAAACCAGTGTTGCTGCGAAATGCATTGTGCATGATCTGGTGTTGCCGCGAAGTGCATCGCGTATGGTTTTCGCAGCGATGGGGGGCCTGCGCGCAGCAGACAATGTGCGCCCCCGCCCGCCGTCCCCGTCAAAAGACAGTACACACGATTCGAAACGCGCCGACCACCTCGGGACCTCGCCGCCCCCATGGGGGGCTTGCGATCTGCGCAACTGTCGCCACTTTCGTGGGCTCCTGCGCGGCCCAGCGGAGGCACGTCTCACGCGTTGCCGCTGCTCTTCTTGCTGCGCTCTTCTGAGTTCACTGATGGGTGCTCTTCTTCCGCACTGCGGGTTTTTTCAGCATGCCCGTCAGCATTGAGTGGTCCCGAATGTAACCACCACATGTATAGAAAGGGTTGGGTACGTCGCAGGGTAATGTTTGACAGGAATGGTCGGGGTTGTCATGGGTCCTGGTTGGCTGCTGGTCGCCTGGGGGAGGGGGGCGTCTTATCCATAGGGAACAGTGGTAAACCCATCCCCGAAGGGGGAAACGTGGGTTTCGAGGAGGCAGCGCCATAAACCACTCGCGCCCTAAAGGGCTGGTGGGATTATCTAAAATGTTGCACGCCGTGCAGCCGCGTGGTAAGACAACAGGGGACGGCGGATCGAAGACGCCTACGGCGAATCACTGTCGCCCCCTGCCTTTTGGACTTGCCCGTGTGGCCGAGCGTTGTGGCAAGAACTCCGCGAAGCTATCGGGCAATGTGTTGTCCTAGCCGTTGTAGAAGCCCTTCAGGGACATTTGGGAGAGGATGGCCCGGAACATCAGGATGAGCAGGAGGAAGAGGAGGAGGAGGAGGAGGAGGAGGAGGAGGAGGAGGAGGAGGAGGAGGAGGAGGAGGAGGAGGAGAAGGACGAAGAGGAGCTGGAGGAGGAGGAGGATGAGGAGGAGGAGGAGGAGAAGGAGGAGGAGGAGGAGGAGGGGGCATCCTGGAAGCCTCTGGGGGCACTCTTGGGGCCTCCCGGGAGCTTCCTGGGAGCCTTTGGAGGCATCTAGCGGACCTCCTTGGGCCTCTTGCGGGATTGTGGGGGCTTTTCGAAGGCCTCATTGGCCGTCTTATGTCATTCTTGGCGCGTCTGACGCCGTCGGAAGCCGTCTTGGGGGCCTCTTTGGGCCGACATGATGCTTTATTGGGGTGCTCCAGAGCCGTCTTGGAGGGCATCTTGGGCGTCTTGGATGCCTCTTGGGTCGTCTTGGGGCCCTCTTGGGCCGTTCTGGGGCTATCTTGGAGGCCTCTTGGTCGATCTTGGGGCCGATCTTTGGGGGCCGTCGGCTGGCCGACAAGAAGCACATGCCCAAATCATTCAAAACCCTACTTAACAACACTGATTTGGGCCGCTTCGGGTCTTCTTGGGGGCCCTGTTGGAGACCCCTTGGGCCGCCTTGACGACCTCTTGGGGGCCTCTTGGGCCGTCTTGGAGCCATCTTGGTGGCCTCCTGGCCTGTCTGACGCCGTCGGAAGCCGTCTTGGGGGCCTCTCTGGGCCGACTTGGGGCCCTCTTGGGGTGCTCCAGGGCCGTCTTCGAGGCCATCCATCTTGGGTGTCTTGGAGGCCTCTTGAGCCGTCTTGGGGCTTGTTGGGGCTGCCTTGGGGGCCTCACGGGCCGTCCTGGGCCCAGCTTCGAGGCCTCCTGGGCGACTTTGGGGTGATCCTTGGGAGCTCTTGGGCCGTCTCGGACCGTCGGAAGGCCGAAAAGAAGCAATGCCCAAATCCTTCAAAAGCCTACAGAACATCAATGATTTTGGCCTCTTCGGGCGTTCCTGGAGGCCCTCTTGGAGACCTCGTTGACCGTTTTGGAGACCTCTTTTGGGCCGTCTTGGGCCGTCGTGGAGCCGTCTTGGGCCCTGGTGGGGACTGCGTGGGCGGACCTGGGAGTTTCTTGGGATCCGAAGATGAGGCCCTCGGTTTCAGCATCGCCATGTGTTCGAGGATGTCTCGTGCGAAACGCTCACTCTTATCACAAGGCGTCTTGGGCCAGGATCCCCCAGATCGCGATTGTTCGAGGATTCTCATGGCGAGACGGCCGTTTTTGGGTGATGTTGCTGGCGCAGCGGGCGGGCCATGGCGGGTGGCGCGCTGGGCCAGAGCCCCGGAGAGAGAACTCTTTCGAAAAAGAACCAGAGCCAAACCAGCAGGATCAAGCACGCCAGGCACCCCTGTGGCAAGATCACAAGGGGCGGCGGATCGAAGAAGCCTACGGCGAATCACCGCCGGTTCCTGCCTTTTGGAGCCGCCCGTGTGGCCGAGCGTTGTGGCAAGAGCTCTGCCAAGCTATCGGACCATGTGTTCTCCCAGTCGTTGTGGAAGCCCTGTGGGGAACACTTCGGGGAGGATGGCGGGGAAGATCAGGAGGAGGAGGAGGAGGAGGAGGAGGAGGAGGAGGAGGAGGAGGAGGACAGGGCATCTCGGGAGACTCTGGGGGCACTCTTGGGGCCTCCCGGGAGCTTCCTGGGAGCCTCGTGGAGGCATCTTGGGAGCCTCCTTGGGCCTCTGGGGGGCTTTTGGGGGCTCCTCGGGGGCCGCTTTGGCAATCTTAGAGCATCCCTGGCGCGTCTGACGCCGTCGGAAGCTGTCTTTTGGACCTCTCTGGGCCGACTTGGGGCCCTCTCGGGGTGCTTCGGGGCCGTCTTGGAGGCCTCTTGGAGGCCTCTTGGGCCCTCCTGGGGCCCTCTTGGGGCTGTCTCTGGCCCCATCTTGAAGGCCTCTTGGGCGATCTTGGGGCGATCTTTGGAGGCCCCTGGGCCGTCTCGGGCTGTCGGAAGGTCGAAAAGAAGCAAATGCTCAAGCCCCACGAAAACGCAAGGCGAATCACTTCGCGTAGCTCTTGTGGCTCAAGCTGCTTCAGGGATTGGCAACTCGACGAGCGAGCACGCGGCAAGACCGGGCTTCGGACCCGATGGCGGGGCTGCGGCACGCTGCGGCACTGGCGCTCGGTGCGCTGGGCGTCGGCGCCCTGTGGCGGCTGGCCCTGGCGCAGCCCGAGGATCGGGCCGGACGAAAGGGGGGGATTGGGAAAGGGGGGGTTACGAAATCTGCTGCACGCAGCTGGTTTCGGCCCCGCCGAGGGGCCCATTCCTCGATACATGGGCGCCTCCCGGCGCCGGGAGGTGCCGGGGGAATCAGCTACGTGAGCTGATTCTCAACCCCCCCCTTTGCTATCCCCCCCTTTCGCCCGACCCGAGAGGAGGCCTGCCCATCGGGCAGCTGCGCCGCTGACGACCCGGCGCTGCTGCAGAAGCAGGCCCGGGCGGCGACGCGCCAGGCCATCCACGCTGACCCGCCCCCGGGGCCGGCGCCGCCCGTGCCGGACGGATGGGAGCCCTGCCCCGGCTTGCTCTACGGCACCCCGAACACCTCGTTCGCGAAGGCCCCCAGCGAGGAGGAGTTCGTGGCCGCTCTCGCCGAGCTCGACCTCACGGCCGTCATGGACGACATGACCCAGCTGATGACGGACTCGCAGTCCTGCTGGCCGGGCGACTGGGGGAGCTACGTCGGGCTCTTCACGCGGCTGTCGTGGCACGCCGCCGGCACCTTCCGCGACACGGACGGCTCTGGAGGCGACGGCGGCGGCCGTCAGCGATTCGACCCCGAGGCCAGCTGGGAGGACAACACGAACCTGGACAAGGCGCGAGGCCTGCTCTGGCCGCTCAAGGAGAAGTACGGGGACGGTCTGAGCTGGGCGGACCTGATCGCGCTGGCCGGCACGCAGACCCAATGGGCGAGCGGCATGCCCTTCAAGGAGTTCTGCTTCGGTCGCCTGGACGATGAGGATGGTGCGAAGAGCCTCCCGCTGGGGCCCGGCGAGATGCAGGAGGAGATGGCGCCCTGCACTGGTCCCGTGAATGGGATGTGCCAGATGCACCCGAACGAGACGGCGCTCGCGCCGACGACGGTCGGACTGATCTACGTGAACCCTGGGGGCCCGATGGGAGTCCCAGACCCAGTGAAGAGCGTCGATGAGATCAGGATTGTCTTTGGCAAGATGGGCCACGACGACAAGGCCACGGTCGCTCTGATCGGCGGCGGCCACGCCTTCGGCAAGTGCCACGGGGCTTGCTCGAAGTTCGAGTACGAGGAGCCGGCTGGACTGCCGCCCAACATGGCTTTCGCAGAGGGCACTTACCCTTACGTGGGCAAGTGCCCCAACCTCGACGGCGGGGTCACGGGCATGGGAAACGCCACGTGGACTAGCGGGTTCGAGGGCCCTTGGACGAGCACGCCAACGCGGTGGTCCAACGAGTATTTCACGTATCTCTTGGATTACGAGTGGGAGCCGTGGTTGGGCCCGGGCGGTGCGATTCAGTGGCGAATGAAGGAGAACCCTGACGACCCGCGGATGCGTCTCACGACCGACATTGCCCTGATCAAGGATCCGGAGTATTTGAAGTACGTCGAGCTCTTCGCCAGCAACCTGACTGCGCTCAACGAGGCGTACGACTTCTCCTGGACGAGCTTGATCAGCAACGGAGGCGGCTGGTCAACGAAGAAGATCTGCGTGCCATACGGCCCCCCGCCCGAGCCTGGCGCGACAACGCCGACCTCGATGCTTAACACGGACCCGCGCTGAGGGGTCGGTTGGGTAGCCCAAGTGGACTGCCAGAGAAGACCATCGGGATGCGGTGCGCGATAGTTACCCGTGCGGTGCAAAGCCAGGGCAGCGGCAAATCGGCGGTGCCGATTCAAGCAGCCGAGCCGACTGCCCTGGCACGGTTCTCAAGCACCAGCGGAGTCCGCGCAGTTCGCCAACGCAGACATGTTTGATTTCAAGCATCGTTTCTTTAAGCTATGCGTCAGTTGGCCTTTTTGGCCCTAAGGCTGGCATCAACTGGTTCTGTGCTCTAGCTGTGGGGCAGCGACATATTCGGTCTATTCGTGGCTCCACAGCTCGGCATCTCGAAATCTTCTTTCGAGTAATCTTACTTCGAGTAATCCACAGTTCGGCATCTCGAAATCTTACTTTCGCTTACGTACGTGAAGCGCGAAAAAAAATCTCGCAAGGCGAATCACTGATTTTGGCCGCTTCGGGCCTTCCTGGAGGCCTCTTGGAGGCACCTTGGGCCGTCTTGGCGATCTCTTGGGGGCCTCCTGGGCCGTCTTGGGTCATCTTGGAGCGATCTTGGGCCGTCTTGTGGCCTCCTGGCCCGCCTGACGCCGTCGGGGGCCGTCTTGGGGGCCTCTCTGGGCCGACTTGGTGTGGGCGGACTTGGAAGTTTCTGGGGATCCGAAGATGAGGCCATCAGCATCGCCATGTTTTCGAGGATGTCTCGTGCGACACGCTCATTCTTATCGTAAGGCGTCTTGGGCTAGGATCCCCCAGATCGCGATTTTGTTTGGGAATTCTCATGGCGAGACGGCCGTTTTGTGGTGATGTTGGTGGCGCAGCGGGCGGGCCATGGCGGGTGGCGCGCTGGGCCAGAGCCCCAGGGAGAGCTCTTTCGGAACAAGAACCAGAGCCAAACCAGCAGGATCTAGCACGCCAGGCACCCCTGTGGCAAGATCACAAGGGGGCGGCGGATCGAAGAAGCCTACGGCGAATCACCGCCGGTTCCTGCCTTTTGGAGTCGCCCATGTGGCCGAGCGTTGTGGCAAGAGCTCTGCCAAGCTATCGGACCATGTGTTCTCCCAGTCGTTCCTGTGGGGAACACTTCGGGGAGGATGGCGGGGGAGATCAGGAGGCGCATGAGGAGGAGGAGGAGGAGGAGGAGGAGGAGGGGGAGGAGGAGGAGGAGGAGGAGGAGGAGGAGGGAGGAGGAGGAGGAGGAGGAGGAGGAGGAGGAGGAGGAGGAGGAGGAGGAGGAGGAGGAGGAGGAGGAGGAGGAGGAGGAGGAGGAGGAGGAGGAGGAGAGGAGGAGGAGGAGGAGGAGGACAGGGCATCTCGGGAGACTCTGGGGGCACTCTTGGGGCCTCCCGGGAGCTTCCTGGGAGCCTCGTGGAGGCATCTTGGGAGCCTCCTTGGGCATCTGAGGGGCTTTGGGGGGCTCCTCGGGGGCCGCTTTGGCAATCTTAGGGCATCCCTGGCGCGTCTGACGCCGTCGGAAGCTGTCTTTTGGACCTCTCTGGGCCGACTTGGGGCCCTCTCGGGGTGCTCCGGGGCCGTCTTGGAGGCCTCTTGGAGGCCTCTTGGGCCCTCCTGGGGCCCTCTTGGGGCTGTCTCTGGCCCCATCTTGAAGGCCTCTTGGGCGATCTTGGGGCGATCTTTGGAGGCTCCTGGGCCGTCTCGGGCTGTCGGAAGGTCGAAAAGAAGCAAATGCTCAAGCCCCACGAAAACGCAAGGCGAATCACTTCGCGTAGCTCTTGTGGCTCAAGCTGCTTCAGGGATTGGCAACTCGACGAGCGAGCACGCGGCAAGACCGGGCTTCGGACCCGATGGCGGGGCTGCGGCACGCTGCGGCACTGGCGCTCGGTGCGCTGGGCGTCGGCGCCCTGTGGCGGCTGGCCCTGGCGCAGCCCGAGGAGGCCTGCCCATCGGGCAGCTGCGCCGCTGACGACCCGGCGCTGCTGCAGAAGCAGGCCCGGGCGGCGACGCGCCAGGCCATCCACGCTGACCCGCCCCCGGGGCCGGCGCCGCCCGTGCCGGACGGATGGGAGCCCTGCCCCGGCTTGCTCTACGGCACCCCGAACACCTCGTTCGCGAAGGCCCCCAGCGAGGAGGAGTTCGTGGCCGCTCTCGCCGAGCTCGACCTCACGGCCGTCATGGACGACATGACCCAGCTGATGACGGACTCGCAGTCCTGCTGGCCGGGCGACTGGGGGAGCTACGTCGGGCTCTTCACGCGGCTGTCGTGGCACGCCGCCGGCACCTTCCGCGACACGGACGGCTCCGGAGGCGACGGCGGCGGCCGTCAGCGATTCGACCCCGAGGCCAGCTGGGAGGACAACACGAACCTGGACAAGGCGCGAGGCCTGCTCTGGCCGCTCAAGGAGAAGTACGGGGACGGTCTGAGCTGGGCGGACCTGATCGCGCTGGCCGGCACGCAGACCCAATGGGCGAGCGGCATGCCCTTCAAGGAGTTCTGCTTCGGTCGCCTGGACGATGAGGATGGTGCGAAGAGCCTCCCGCTGGGGCCCGGCGAGATGCAGGAGGAGATGGCGCCCTGCACTGGTCCCGTGAATGGGATGTGCCAGATGCACCCGAACGAGACGGCGCTCGCGCCGACAACGGTCGGACTGATCTACGTGAACCCTGGGGGCCCGATGGGAGTCCCAGACCCCGTGAAGAGCGTCGACGAGATCAGGGTTGTCTTTGGCAAGATGGGCCACGACGACAAGGCCACGGTCGCTCTGATCGGCGGCGGCCACGCCTTCGGCAAGTGCCACGGGGCTTGCTCGAAGTTCGAGTACGAGGAGCCGGCTGGACTGCCGCCCAACATGGCTTTCGCAGAGGGCACTTACCCTTACGTGGGCAAGTGCCCCAACCTCGACGGCGGGGTCACGGGCATGGGAAACGCCACGTGGACTAGCGGGTTCGAGGGCCCTTGGACGAGCACGCCAACGCGGTGGTCCAACGAGTATTTCACGTATCTCTTGGATTACGAGTGGGAGCCGTGGTTGGGCCCGGGCGGTGCGATTCAGTGGCGAATGAAGGAGAACCCTGACGACCCGCGGATGCGTCTCACGACCGACATTGCCCTGATCAAGGATCCGGAGTATTTGAAGTACGTCGAGCTCTTCGCCAGCAACCTGACTGCGCTCAACGAGGCGTACGACTTCTCCTGGACGAGCTTGATCAGCAACGGAGGCGGCTGGTCAACGAAGAAGATCTGCGTGCCATACGGCCCCCCGCCCGAGCCTGGCGCGACAACGCCGACCTCGATGCTTAACACGGACCCGCGCTGAGGGGTCGGTTGGGTAGCCCAAGTGGACTGCCAGAGAAGACCATCGGGATGCGGTGCGCGATAGTTACCCGTGCGGTGCAAAGCCAGGGCAGCGGCAAATCGGCGGTGCCGATTCAAGCAGCCGAGCCGACTGCCCTGGCACGGTTCTCAAGCACCAGCGGAGTCCGCGCAGTTCGCCAACGCAGACATGTTTGATTTCAAGCATCGTTTCTTTAAGCTATGCGTCAGTTGGCCTTTTTGGCCCTAAGGCTGGCATCAACTAGTTCTGTGCTCTAGCTGTGGGGCCGCGACGTACATTGTCTATTCGTGGCTCCACAGCTCGGCATCTCGAAATCTTATTTCGAGTACTCTTACTTCGAGTAATCCACAGTTCGGCATCTCGAAATCTTACTTTCGCTTACGTGCGTGAAGCGCGAAAAAAAATCTCGCAAGGCGAATCACTGATTTTGGCCGCTTCGGGCCTTCCTGGAGGCCTCTTGGAGGCCCCTTGGGCCGTCTTGGCGATCTCTTGGGGGCCTCCTGGGCCGTCTTGGGTCATCTAGGAGCGATCTTGGGCCGTCTTGTGGCCTCCCGGCCCGCCTGGCGCCGTCGGGGGCCGTCTTGGGGGCCTCTCTGGGCCGACTTGGCGTGGGCGGACTTGGAAGTTCCTTGGGATCCGAAGATGAGGCCATCGGTTTCAACATCGCCATGTGTTCGAGGATGTCTCCTGCGAAACGCCCATTCGTATCATAAGGATCGCGTTTGTTTGAGGATTCTCGTGGCGAGACGGCCGTTTGCGGTGATGTTGGTGGCGCAGCGGGCGGGCCATGGCGGGTGGCGCGCGGGGCCAGAGCCCCGGAGAGAGCTTTTTCGGAAAAGAACCAGAACCAAGCCAGCAGGATCTAGCACGCCAGGCACCCCTGTGGCAAGACCACAGGGGGGCGGCGGATCGAAGAAGCCTACGGCGAATCACCGCCGGTTCCTGCCTTTTGGAGTCGCCCATGTGGCCGAGCGTTGTGGCAAGAGCTCTGCCAAGCTATCGGACCATGTGTTCTCCCAGTCGTTCCTGTGGGGAACACTTCGGGGAGGATGGCGGGGGAGATCAGGAGGCGCATGAGGAGGAGGAGGAGGAGGAGGAGGAGGGGGAGGAGGAGGAGGAGGAGGAGGATGAGGAGGAGGAGGGAGGAGGAGGAGGAGGAGGAGGAGGAGGAGGAGGAGGAGGAGGAGGAGGAGGAGGAGGAGGAGGAGGAGGACAGGGCATCTCGGGAGACTCTGGGGGCACTCTTGGGGCCTCCCGGGAGCTTCCTGGGAGCCTCGTGGAGGCATCTTGGGAGCCTCCTTGGGCCTCTGGGGGGCTTTTGGGGGCTCCTCGGGGGCCGCTTTGGCAATCTTAGAGCATCCCTGGCGCGTCTGACGCCGTCGGAAGCTGTCTTTTGGACCTCTCTGGGCCGACTTGGGGCCCTCTCGGGGTGCTCCGGGGCCGTCTTGGAGGCCTCTTGGAGGCCTCTTGGGCCCTCCTGGGGCCCTCTTGGGGCTGTCTCTGGCCCCATCTTGAAGGCCTCTTGGGCGATCTTGGGGCGATCTTTGGAGGCTCCTGGGCCGTCTCGGGCTGTCGGAAGGTCGAAAAGAAGCAAATGCTCAAGCCCCACGAAAACGCAAGGCGAATCACTTCGCGTAGCTCTTGTGGCTCAAGCTGCTTCAGGGATTGGCAACTCGACGAGCGAGCACGCGGCAAGACCGGGCTTCGGACCCGATGGCGGGGCTGCGGCACGCTGCGGCACTGGCGCTCGGTGCGCTGGGCGTCGGCGCCCTGTGGCGGCTGGCCCTGGCGCAGCCCGAGGAGGCCTGCCCATCGGGCAGCTGCGCCGCTGACGACCCGGCGCTGCTGCAGAAGCAGGCCCGGGCGGCGACGCGCCAGGCCATCCACGCTGACCCGCCCCCGGGGCCGGCGCCGCCCGTGCCGGACGGATGGGAGCCCTGCCCCGGCTTGCTCTACGGCACCCCGAACACCTCGTTCGCGAAGGCCCCCAGCGAGGAGGAGTTCGTGGCCGCTCTCGCCGAGCTCGACCTCACGGCCGTCATGGACGACATGACCCAGCTGATGACGGACTCGCAGTCCTGCTGGCCGGGCGACTGGGGGAGCTACGTCGGGCTCTTCACGCGGCTGTCGTGGCACGCCGCCGGCACCTTCCGCGACACGGACGGCTCCGGAGGCGACGGCGGCGGCCGTCAGCGATTCGACCCCGAGGCCAGCTGGGAGGACAACACGAACCTGGACAAGGCGCGAGGCCTGCTCTGGCCGCTCAAGGAGAAGTACGGGGACGGTCTGAGCTGGGCGGACCTGATCGCGCTGGCCGGCACGCAGACCCAATGGGCGAGCGGCATGCCCTTCAAGGAGTTCTGCTTCGGTCGCCTGGACGATGAGGATGGTGCGAAGAGCCTCCCGCTGGGGCCCGGCGAGATGCAGGAGGAGATGGCGCCCTGCACTGGTCCCGTGAATGGGATGTGCCAGATGCACCCGAACGAGACGGCGCTCGCGCCGACGACGGTCGGACTGATCTACGTGAACCCTGGGGGCCCGATGGGAGTCCCAGACCCAGTGAAGAGCGTCGATGAGATCAGGGTTGTCTTTGGCAAGATGGGCCACGACGACAAGGCCACGGTCGCTCTGATCGGCGGCGGCCACGCCTTCGGCAAGTGCCACGGGGCTTGCTCGAAGTTCGAGTACGAGGAGCCGGCTGGACTGCCGCCCAACATGGCTTTCGCAGAGGGCACTTACCCTTACGTGGGCAAGTGCCCCAACCTCGACGGCGGGGTCACGGGCATGGGAAACGCCACGTGGACTAGCGGGTTCGAGGGCCCTTGGACGAGCACGCCAACGCGGTGGTCCAACGAGTATTTCACGTATCTCTTGGATTACGAGTGGGAGCCGTGGTTGGGCCCGGGCGGTGCGATTCAGTGGCGAATGAAGGAGAATCCTGACGACCCGCGGATGCGTCTCACGACCGACATTGCCCTGATCAAGGATCCGGAGTATTTGAAGTACGTCGAGCTCTTCGCCAGCAACCTGACTGCGCTCAACGAGGCGTACGACTTCTCCTGGGCGAGCTTGATCAGCAACGGAGGTGGCTGGTCAACGAAGAAGATCTGCGTGCCATACGGCCCCCCGCCCGAGCCTGGCGCGACAACGCCGACCTCGATGCTTAACACGGACCCGCGCTGAGGGGTCGGTTGGGTAGCCCAAGTGGACTGCCAGAGAAGACCATCGGGATGCGGTGCGCGATAGTTACCCGTGCGGTGCAAAGCCAGGGCAGCGGCAAATCGGCGGTGCCGATTCAAGCAGCCGAGCCGACTGCCCTGGCACGGTTCTCAAGCACCAGCGGAGTCCGCGCAGTTCGCCAACGCAGACATTTTTGATTTCAAGCATCAAGGCCCTTTTCGGCCCTAAGGCTGGCATCAACTAGTTCTGTGCTCTAGCTGTGGGGCCGCGACGTACATTGTCTATTCGTGGCTCCACAGCTCGGCATCTCGAATTCTTATTTCGAGTACTCTTACTTCGAGTAATCCACAGTTCGACATCTCGAAATATTACTGTCGCTTATGTACGTGAAGCGCGAACAAAAACATGCAAGGCGAATCACTGATTTTGGCCGCTTCGGGCCTTCCTGGAGACCTCTTGGAGGCCCCTTGGGCCGTCTTGGCGATCTCTTGGGGGCCTCCTGGGCCGTCTTGGGTCATCTAGGAGCCATCTTGGGCCGTCTTGTGGCCTCCTGGCCCGCCTGACGCCGTCGGGGGCCGTCTTGGGGGCCTCTCTGGGCCGACTTGGCGTGGGCGGACTTGGAAGTTTCTGGGGATCCGAAGATGAGACCATCGGTTTCAGCATCGCCATGTGTTCGAGGATGTTTCCTGCGAAACGCCCATTCTTATCAGAAGGCGTCTTGGGCCAGGATCCCCCAGATCGCGACTGTTTGAGGATTCTCATGGCGAGACGGCCGTTTGTGGTGATGTTGGCGGCGCAGCGGGCGGGCCATGGCGGGTGGCGCGCTGGGCCAGAGCCCCAGGGAGAGCTCTTTCGGAGAAAGAACCAGAGCCAAACCAGCAGGATCTGGCACGCCAGGCACTCCTTTGGCAAGGCCACAGGGGGCGGCGGATCGAAGAAGCCTACGGCGAATCACCGCCGCTTCGGGCCGTCGAAGGCCGAAGAGAAGGCAAACGTCAAAATCCGTCAAAAACCTTAAGAACATCAATGTTTTGGGCCTCTTCTGGCCCTCCTGGAGGCCCTCTTGGGGTCCTCTTGGGCCGTCTTGGGCCAGCTTCGAGCCAACTTCGGCCATCTAGGTGGGTTCCTGGCACGTCGGACGCCGTCAGGGGCCGTCTTGGGGGCCTTTCTGGGCCGACTTGGGGCTATCTTGGGGCGCTTCGGGGCCGTCTTGGAGGCCATCTTGGGCGTCTTGGAGGCCATCTTGAGCGTCTTGGGGGCCGCTTGGACCGTCTTGGGGCCCGGTTGCGGCCGTCTTGGGGGCCTCTCGGGCCGTCATGGGGCCATCTTGGAGGCCTCTGGAATGATGTTGCGCCGATCTTGGGGACCTCTTGGGCCGTCTTAGGCCGTCGGAAAGCCGAAGAGGCGCACATCCCCAAATCCTTAAAACAGCCGGAGGAAATTCAATGATTTGGGCCTCTTCGGGCCTTCCTGGAGGACCTCTTCGACGCGTCGTGGGCGTTCTTGGACTCTAAAGCGAGCTGAGGAACATGAGGGGCAGAAGCGAGCGTGTGCCCGCGGCCGCGTCGGCTCAAGCGGCCGGCCGCCCAGATATGATTGTCCCGCATTGTGAGGCATGCGATTCGCCATCGAGACCAAAAGGACCTTTCTAACCCTGGGAAGCAATCAGTAAACCCCCCTCCCCCCCCCCCCCTCATCAGAGGAAATTATATCGCTTCCGGCACCGGGGCCGGGGCGGAAGCGATATCCCCCGCAGGTCACCAGAGGTCCGCGGAGGGGAGGTTCCCGGAGGTTCCCAGGAGGCATCCAGAAAGGCCGGCCTCCACAAGCCTCTGAATGCCCAGTCCCCTTGGGCCCTGCTTTCAAGCCGCAATTGTTGGAGTGACGGGCGGGGGAGAGGGGGAGGAGGAGTGCCCCCAGGTCGTGCTCGACCCGGTGCTGTTCTGTGAAGCCTCGGCGCGGTTTCCTGAGTGATTCCTTGGATTCCTATGGATTCCCATGGTTTCCTATGACTTGCACACGGGCCACCGGATCCGGCGGCTAACGTTTTCATATATATATATATATATATGTATATATTTATATATGTTTTTATGCATATATATACATTTATATAAATGTGCTAACATATCGCGGGGGGGTTCGCGGAACGCGTCTGCGATATCCTTCCGTGGGTTTCCCATATAATCCCCTGGAAAAACCAATTTCCTTGTCGCTGTCGCAATAGGAATTGCCTATGTCCACGCGAGCCCTCTTTTGCCAAATTCCTTAGATTCATTGCCGTTTCCTGTGTGATTCCTGTGGGACTCCTTTGAGGTTCCTTTGGGGTTCTTTTGATCTTCCTTCAGTGTTCCTTAGACATTTTTGTAGGGGTCGTTTGAGGTTCATGTGAGATTCGTGTGTGCTCCCTTGCTGAAGGAATCGCCACATCGACCTCCGGGGCCGGTGGCTTTCTTATTTTAAATAAATGTGCTAACATATCGCGGGGGGGTTCGCGGAATGCGTCTGCGATATCACTCCGTGGGTTCTTCCATATGATCCCCTGAACAAATCAATATCTTTATCGCGGTCGCAATAAGAATTTTCTATGTCCACGCGAGCCCTCGTTTGCCAAATTATTGAGATTCCTTGCCGTTTCCTGTGTGATTCTTGTGGGACTCCTTTGAGGTTCCTTTGGGGTTCTTTTGATATTCCTCTAGTGTTCCTTGGAGATGTTTGTAAGGGCCCCTTGATGTTCATGTGAGATTCGTGTGGCGCCCCAGCAAAATGCGGCTCTTTTTCGGTGCCTTGCTGTCCGATGAGCCTCCCACTTGGGCGGGCCAACCAAAATGGAGCTCCCCGTGACAGCTATTACCCGGGATTTCATTTTTTTGTCATTTTTGATTTACCTTTGAGTTCCGATGCGCGTCAGTTTCCCAGTGTTCTAACAAGGCGGGAACCCATTGGCAAGCGATCGTGCGCATTGGTTCTTCAGGCTGTCGCCTCACGTTGCCGCTAGCTTCGGGCCCAAGGGGGGGGGGGGGGGGCAAATTAATTAATTATCCTATTTTATTTTTATGTGCTAACGATATCGCCGGAGGGCGCCGCCCAAAATAATTATGCATTTTATTTTCTGTGCTAACGATATCGCCGGGGGGTTTACTGTTTGCTTCCCGGGGTTACTGCTTAAGACGGTACGCCCTCTACTACTGGGGCTATCGTTACTACGGTGCAACAGAGCTGGGGCTGGGCTTGACCTAAATCGAAGCTGCTGGTTGGGCCTCCCAACCCCTGTCAAATTTGGTAGCGGAGCTGGCCTATGGTGGTCAACTCTAGTTCTACTCCTCACCATCCACGGCGCTACCTGGTGGACTACAGACATGGTGGAACATCAGGATGCAATGGGTTTGCGCGGAGGAATGTATATAACTACGCAGTGTAGCAAGGGCATTTGCAGTGACACCTCTGCTTACGCGGAGGCCATTTACCCTCGTCCTACATCCCTGCGCTACTACACTCCTGAAGACCTCTTTGGGCTCACATGGGTCGCTATTGGGTGTGCGGTAGGACGGACACATGCGTGGTGGAGACGACACAAGAACGACCGGCCCTCATTGGGACCCAGCCGGTCAGGTACCTTTCCGCGAATTCGTCCGCGAGATACATGCCAGCAGGCTGCAGCCCTGCAGCGAGGGTTGGGAGGTCTCGCACGGACCATAGCCATGAGAGCCCCCCCAGCAGTTATCAGTTTTGGCGTTAACATAGGTGGCTGCCACATCGACGGGCTCACCTACATTCTGCTCCTCTTAAGTACGAAGTTCGAGAATTTGGAAGAGGAGCGCCAATTCAACTCTGGTGCAGCTCTCATCGACTTCCGAGTCCATGCGGGAGAACGAATCGACCAGACTTTGGCACGCTTCGAGATAACTCGCTACGAAGCTGAAGCGGCAGCCTTTAACACCCCCATTTCCCAAATCTTAGCAGTTATTTTATTCAGAGCTCTTGGAGTGGGGGCATCGCGTGCGCAGCAACTCCTACAGCCTCTAAACCACCGCATGCCGAGAGACCAGCAACAATGTGACGCTCTACCAGAACGCACGAGGTCATATGCACACATTGCTGAGAAAACCCTGGGCAATATTGGTGGCATTTTCAGTCGCTGTCACCGTCTCGAGACCTTCCGCGCTGAGGCAGACGCAGGGCCACCTGCTAATATCGTCTGGAATGGCGATCCACAACCAACTGAGATCACTGCACTACTGGCTCAGAACGGTGGATCGGCCTCGGGGTCGCCAGGCTCCTGGGCCAGGTTTCGGGGGCCGCCCGGCGCAGTATCTCCTACACAAGCAAGCCATGGCCCTAATGGGCTCAGCGGGGCAACCTGCCGAGTCCGATTTCGACTCCAGCATTGGCACCGATGCGTCTTCGGACGATGCGGCCACAGCCCTTGGCAGCCCGATATACCTACATGCCTCGCGGAAGAGCAACAGGCGGAATAGTTATTCTTAGGATACTAAAAACATAAGCGCAGATGGAGGCGATTCCAGAAGAAGCCCGTCCGTAAAGCACGGCGTATTGTACGACGTGCACTCGAGAGAAAAAGGCAAGGGTCGAGGTAAGGGTAAATGTATGGCAGAGGCATAATGGCTGGCATTCCTAGCGCCCCCTACCGGACCACAGTATGCAGAGATATTTTTAGGCGCCGGAAAAAGGTAAGGGACGTCGGGGAAACCCGAAGCCAATGGTGAGACTGTGGAGTGCGACATATGCCATCGTGCGCAGCATTTTCGCCGCGAGTGCCCTCGAGGCGATGGGAGAGGCAGGGGTCCGTCGATGCTTCTGGCTGAAACCGACTCTGACATGCAGTATGTTGACTGGGGGTCTCTTTTAGCTGACCCTGCCGATAGCTCAGCTGCAGTTGTTCACTTCATGGCCGCAGCGAAATCGATCTGGCAGACAGGCTGGGCATGCCCATCGCGGGGCAACCTGCAGATCTAGAGTTGATCGAGAGC